CTGTTCTCAGGAGCATTCGACTTCCGACGAAGTCTGCCCTGCCCTCCCTAAATTTAGAAGCAGCAAACTCCCTGGTGTGTTCTGCGCGCTGAAAGGAATACAGACTGAGCTTGAGAAATACACATTTAAATTTGCCAACAGTTCTGCACAACCTCTGCAATAAATACTTCTTGCATCATTGTCATCAAAATCTGTGGATTGCAAACCTGTGCTTTCTGAGGTATGATATAATTTATCCACTCCACCAAACGCCCTTATGGAAATTGTATGTAAAATTAAAGCACTGTGTTCCAGAATGAACTTGCGTAGACAGTTGATTTAGGGCACAAACACCTTGTTCCAGTTCTTAAGTTTTTCATACGCAATTCACAGCAAGCAGGTGATAGTCAAACAAGTTAAGCTGGACATCAGGCTATATGGTGTGTAACTTGAAGAATTAGGTGCAGATGTGGTTACAAATTTGAAACTCTATTTTTGGAAACCCTATGTAACATTTCTGAGAATTCCACTTGACCTAGAACACTTGAATAAAGGCAGTAGAAGAGCTGTGAAGGCAGTCAAAGTGAATTAATTAAGAAAGCCTAAGTGAATATTAATGGGAACTGCTATATTCAACAATGTACAAGTGTGTCTGGCATTTATAAATGAACTCTGCTATTTGTTACATGTTACATTAGAGAAGAATTCTGAAACAACATATCAAAATGTCAAACCAAAACAGCATTTTTATTTGATGTTCTTTTTTGTTAAAATGAATTATTGATAACGCTTTTCTTGGCTGGTAGGAGATATTTCTGATTTTTATTTGCTTATTAGATCAAATCTCTTATTCCTTATGTAGGCAGAACTCTTAAACAATATCTAGATGTGATATGTGTAATTACAGAGCTCAGCTTCTTTTTTGCGGGGAATGTTCTCCCCGCCCATCCCTTGCTGCTGTGATTTCTTAAGCTGATATTTTCCTTGGAAGTCTTTAAGCAAATATATAGCCCACCCTGATGCCGGAGGTCGGGACCAGGGTGTGACAGCTTTGTGTGGGCCCACAGACCACACTGGTGGATCTCTGGGTCCAGTGAAGGCATCTGAGTTGGGTTATCCTGGGATCTGCACAGAAAAAGCTACTCCATTTCCAGTGATTTGACTTTGGAAGGTGTCTTGCCTGAGCAAGGTCTGATTTGTCATGGGATTCAGAAAGTCCAAGGGGAGAAAGGATGTGCATGGTTCTTGGTTTCTCGGTGGCACCTGAAGATAACAAGATCTCTTATTAGCCACTGTTGCCTGCTCCAGGAACTAGCAAAGTCTGGGTCCCCACGAGAGCTCTCAGCTGTGTTTTGGCTATTCTGGGTTATGTGCTACCTGTTGCAAATGATTCCTAGTTACTCATCCTTTTCACTGCTCTGAGTGTCACCGTTTGAAAAACTCTTTTAGTTTTCAAACATAACTCTAATTACGGTTTTGTGAGTTTTGTATTTCTTAAAGACCCACCTCACTCGTCAGACTTGGCAACCCCCAAACCCATTTGCTGCACTCCACCTATAAATGCAGAAGTGGTTTTGGCTTGACTTTATTTTGAGGTCAAAAGTCTCTGTCAGAGTTACAAAGGGAAAAAAAGAAAGCTTCCTTTTCACGATCTCCTGTTCATCCTGTTTAACGTTTGTTGTTTTTAATTGCTTGCAGAAGATCCTGCATGAGTTGGGAGCACAAACTCGGGCAGTTCTTAGTGGGGCTTTTCCTCTCAAATCAGCTGAGTTTGCTCTGGCACTAGGAAGGAGGGTGCAAGACATGGCCCTAAGACTCCTGAGGCTCGTTAAGGGTTTTAGATTCTGATGGATTAAAATTGTCTCACTTGGTTTTAGTCAGAATAAATTCATTGGGGACTATGGGTGGCCATAGGCAAACTGCTGCATGGAGGACAGAGGGACACGCTTATCTTCTCCTGCCCCCGCAAAGTGTTTCTGTTACTGCCATCCTATTGCAGACTGGGAAAACACTGTTCCCTTCCTGCGGTGTCAGAGGGCATTTGTGCTTTTTTCTGGCTGTACTGAGCCCCTGTGCAGTGGAGCCTGCAAACACCTTTCCCTGCCTTCTGCTGTGTTTCATCCAGCGAGCTTGCCCTGTTTTTTAATGCAAAAATCAGATTTTCTCTCTCATTTTGGGTGACCCAGTTTAGGCTCTTTGAATCTACTGCGTATGGCAGAGGTCCCCGGTGGCTGGTGTTTTGGCTTAGAGGGATGTGTCTGGGCTGTTAAGCTGAATGGGAAAGGTTTAAAAATGAATATGTTCCTTACTTAGGAAACGACAGTGGGGCTCCCGACCCCGAGTGAGGAGGGAGGCCCAGTATGCTGGGTGGGTGCCGTGCTCCTTGGTTAGCGCCTGTGTATTTGGCTGAACATTTTTCGCTCTTGATAGCAGCCTGGGGTGTGTTTAATAAAAGCTGAGGTTTTATTTAGAGGCTTGCTAGAGCAAAGAGTCTGCAGCAGTGTTACTAACACACAAACTCACGCTTCATGCCTTAATACTACCTGACAGAAGTTGGTCATAGGCACTAGCCCAGTGCCAAGGAAATTACAGATCACGTCTCTCACTCTGGCTTTGTCGTGGCCCCTTTTCCCACTATCTAGGACATCCTAAATCCCAGACAAGATCCCCTGTCTGAATTCCTTCAGAAGTGCTGGGGAAGCCCTCCCCACCTCCCTGTTTTGTCCTTGGGTCTCAGCCGCAAATTAAGCTGCCTAGCTGGTGGTGAGCGTGACTCTTTTTTGGTGGGGGGTGAGAATGCCGGGCTTGCTCCAGACTGTGTGCTGCACCTCTGACTACAAAATGATGATTGCAGCTCTGTGGTAGTAATTATGTAAGCTGGATCGAGGAGCGATGGTAGGAGAGAGAAGCAGTGGGGTGAGATGACTCAGTGATGGGATGACGCAAGTTTGGGGCTTGACTTTCTCTTCGCTGGCTCCAGAAACATCCCTTTGAAAGACAGCATCTGGTTCAGTGAGTGATTTACCACATGGCTGCGAGTCTCCACTCTCCCTGCTCGGCACAGGCCCTGCCTCCACTGCAAAGATCTCCAGAAAAAGTGTGAGACCATTTATTTTCACTATTTTTGTTGGTATTTAGAGGTATTTAGAGAGGGAGGTCCTGTCTGGTCAGAGGATCTCAGGCGGTGTAGGGGAAACTAAGGACGTGTCTTTGTGAGATGCTGTTCATGATGAATTCCCTGTCTGTTGGCCTTTGGGGTGAAAGAAGGGAACTGTTATTACAAACTGTTTTTATCTCCTTCTGCTTCCATTTAACTGAAACCAGTAATTTCATTTTAAACTCCAAATTTGCTTTAATCTGGATGACTTTTCTTGTGTAGACGCACTCTGGGGCGTCAGACGCTTCGGAGTCTGTGCAAAGCTCCTCAGGTGCTGCAGCAGCAGTCATGTGTGAACGAAAGCTGCTGGCCCTTCAGCATGGGAGATGGCAGCTTGTATTTCATAGCCATATTTATGATCTTTGCAGGATTGGTAGATTCAGCCATATGGGGCGGAGGTCACCCCAATGGGGACTCCTTTCCAGAAGCACCTCTGGTAGTGCACGTCCCCTCAGCTGCTGGCCAGCTCTCCGCGGATTGTCTGTGTCCCTGATGCAGGAAAAGGACAGTTACGACCCATCCCTCCTTCTTCTAAATGCTTTTTTGGATCTAGACAGTCAAGTCCATAGCTAAGGGCATGGAAGGATGGGTTTATGGATTACCTACCTGTTAGCTGGCGGGTAGAGACCGGCTTGTTGTAACTTGGTGACCTTTCCCATACGTGTGCTTCACTAGTCAGACTCTCCATATGGAAAAATTTTGCAAATTTTGCCCTGTATGAGATGGCAGCACTGTGTAAAAGCAGATATTGCCTCAGAATCTCCGGTACAGATCCAAAGTATTTTTATTTTTGTAGTCTCTGTTGTTGTCTGTCCTCTTCCTCCTTGTATGTCTTCAGGGGGGATTACTCCTAGCGCTAAAACATTTTCTTCTAAACCCCATTGCTGGTTTTCTCATCTAGCTTTAGTATTTACTGAAGAAAATAGGTGGCTTCTGAAAATTAGTACAAATTATATTTGGTTGAGTAAAAGTGTGTGGGTGATGGCTCTGCAAGTTTTCCCACCCTGGTTATTTTGGTCTTGGCTCTCGGGAACAGAGATTGCAGTTGGGCCGAGCTGTGCCAGAACGTCTGGTGGTTTATGATGTACGCATACAGGAACTGCAGCAGACCACCAGTTTCATTCTTCTCTTGAGACCCCTCCAGGATTTAAGCCCTGCAATGAAGGCAAGTGCAAAAACCCTTCTCCACACACGTGGTATTAATACTTTGTGCATATTTATAGAAAAGGTTGGTATTTTTTGCTGTTGATATTCAAGTATTGGAAGAAGGGGAGAAAATCTACTAAAAGGCGGTTCTTCCTCTCCGTAAGTAACAAACGTGTATTTGTCTTCTGCTCTCTAATAACTGTGTGACATTGCGGTTGGACCGTCATTTTTGGAGCTCTCTCTGCTGAACTCGGCTGTCCTCGTTTGGGTTAGGCACACATCCTGGACACACTTCCGCACCACGGCAATGTTTCTCGCATGTTGCCACATTTGCAGGCTTGCCAATTGTTTCTGTTTGTTTCTCGGACACCAGACTGAGAGCGTGTGCTTGCAGCACAGTGGTAACCCTGAGGACCGGAGGTGAGGCATTGCCTCATTTTTGAGCTGAGACTAGACTGACTCCAGCAGAGCACAGTCGGGAAAGCATGGGCTTACTGCTGCCTTCAGGACAGGGAGGGAACAGTAGGACTCACTTGGTGTTCCTGCCAATAATATAGTGGTTTAATTTTTAGTGATTTAGAATTAGCTGTGGATTTTTTTTCCTAGGCAGTGGCTGTTTTGTTGGTGGAACAGGCTGGATTTCTTGCAGGGTATGTTTTGTGTTCTTGTTCATTTTGTTGATGTATACGTGTCTAGGTTGGCACTCATCAGATCAAATACAGACGATCTCCGAGCTGTTGCTCTAGATTCTCTTTCCACACAGTGGAGAAAAATTAGCACTGTTTTGGGGCAGTTCAGGTCACCTAGAAGTAGATATCTAGAAAAAGTCTCATGAATTACTCCTTTAAAAAGCCAGTTTTCCTCTGCCAGCTAAAATGGATATTCAGATGTATGTAGGCAATGGAAGTGAGGGAAATTAATTTAACCTTTATTTCCTATAATGGCAAAATTTCCGGATAACTTAATTCTGGGTTGCCCCAAGATGGCACTGTGTGTGTAAACCCTCCTAAAGTAATCTTATGCTTGCAACAGACTATCTTTACTGTCTAAACTCAAGTCACATCTCTTCAACTTGCAATCTGCAGGACACAGAGCATCGTGTCCATTTAAAAAACTGAACCAGCAAAGCCTTTGCTGGCTGCGCAGTTCTTCTCCTTGGGAGGTGGAGAGAGAATAAACCAGATGTGACAAATGTATATACAAATACCACTACACAGCATTAAATGGCGGCAATGAGGGTGGCAAAAGAGTTGATAGAGATCACATGGAGAAAGCTAGGAGGTTCGCAGCTGAAAGGAAACTTAATGTTTGATGCCCCAAACATGACCAAATATCTTTTTATTCTTTTCCTTTTTATTTGTTGATTAGATGGTGTAATTCCTAGATAGTAATATTATTTTATGCAACTGTTTTGCTGTTCTCTTCTTTTATCTCCTCCCCCAAAAACTAGCTATGGAAAGGTTAGCAGCCTAGGGTACGCTCCTCCAATAGGGACAGGAGACAAACCCAAAGCAAAATCTGACTGCTAAGGAAGTAGAGTTTCCAAGGGCTAGGTCCAAAATGATAAAAAATTTCTTCCTTCTGTGCATGAGGAAAAAATTCTAAAGTACTCAGAAGGTGACAGGTAGGGGGAGAAATACGGTATCTTAATCTTACATTATAGATGTTTTTTGTAAATTCTTAAGCACAGAGGGATTAACCAAGGTTATATTTTAATGAATAGAAGATCATTACGTGTATGTTTAACTTCATTTTGTGTCTTAAGTTGCATATGAGGGTTTTTTTTTTCCTTGTACAGTAATTTTTGGGAGTCTACTTTAATGATTTTCTTGTCTGTCTGGAAAACTGAAAAAAAGAAATTTTAAAAATAATTAAACTTTTCTCCTTATCCACTTTCTCTGTAGCTGTCGTCTATAATTCTTTAATAACGTACATGCTTTGAATAAACCATATATTTTAAAATGATTTCTATAGGAAAAAAAAAACTTCATTTTTTTGCATTGTATTTTTTTATAATAAATTTTATCAGGCTACAAATGAAATTTTTTTCCATTTTGAACTTTCTGTAATGGAATGAGATAAAATCTAATTCTACACTTCACATAATCCACGGGCCAACTCAGTCCTTCATTTAATTCCATTAAGCTGATTTTGCAGGGAAAGGAACAATTTACAGGAAATGCTTGGCCCCAAACCATTTTCAGAGTGAATGGCAAATTAGGTATTATTGTACAGACCCTATGGAGGTGGGTCCTACTGCAGCCATGCTCCTATCAGTAAAAGATTAAATGAAAGCCAGAATGGCAGAACCTTTTTCGTGAGAAGAAGGGTTGATAGCTGGTGCTCTGTTAAAATCATGCCGTTGGTGTGCCCAGGTCCTGGCTGAACCTCTGCTTTGGGTGTCCCCAGGGGAATGCTGGCCGCAGGGATTGACACTGATTGCGTGGTCCCACAGCTTCGACTGGGTGCACGAACCTGAAATTTGCTGTGGCCTGACAAGACACAAGCTTCTGCTGCAGTAGTGCGACTGTTCACGTGCAAGATCAGATAGGGAAAATCTCCTAGGACTGTTCAGTCAAATCAGTGCGTAATGGTCTTGTGCAGTTAAGCAGAGCATGCTATTTCCGATGAAAGTTAAACTTAAAAAAAGACTCCTTTTTTCTCCCCTCCCTCTCCCTCCAACTGGCAACTTTGTGCCAGTGCCATGGGATGTCCTCCTGTTTCCCCGTCGCTCTCCAAAACGCACAAACCATCCTCCCAGCACGGCGTAACTAATCCCTTCTGCTGACTGAGTTCTGCCGGGACCTTTAAAGTAATGCCAACTCCTACGCACTAAATGTAGCGTGGCAGCTTTTCATAGGAAAGCGAAAAACCCAAATCCAATAAGCAGGGAAATAACCATTACGATGAAGGCCTGGTTTCCCTTCGGTCTGTCAGCTCGCTGCCTGGGAGGACAGAGGAGTGGCTTTTCACTGCGAGTTGGCCATGGACCATAGGATAGAAATATGAAGACTTTGTTTCTCTTTAAGCTTGAATCTGTGAATAGATGCATTTTTTTTTTTTTTAAATCTTACAGGAAAATCGCTTTATTTTTAGGGATGAGTTTTCAGGCAGTTTGGATTCCTTTTTCTCTGTGCTGGGATTAGTAAACAGCAGCGAAACTCACGCTTCTCTTTACAATCCCTTTTCAAAGTGGAAGCGAGGTTGCCCAGCTCAGGTTTTGTTATCTTGAGATTTAACTGTGGTGTTTGAAAAAGAGTATCAGCGAGGTAGTTCTGTCTGTGCAACGTATTGGCTTTTGTGAAAATTAGCAGAACAATTTTGAAAGCCTGTTTGCATTTCTAGCAAACGTAAGACATTCTATAGCGAAGACGTGTTGTGAAGAAAACGGGTTAAATGGTTTCTTGTTTGTTTAATTTGTGGGGAGAAGAGGGCTTTGCAAAAGAGCAAAAGAACCCCAGAAATGCAGCCATTGAACAGGTGGAGGTGGGGGCACCCGATGTGATGGGAAGGGCACGGGGGGCTCCTTCCGCAGGGCTGCGAGCATCTGCCGAAAGCGGGCTGATGCTGCTCTGCGGTCTCATAAAACGGCAGAGAGGGATTTCTCTTCTGCAAGGACATCCTGAGGTAAACCTGTTCTTACAAGGTTTCATCAGGCCAATTTTCATCTTAATTTTTTCTTTATTGAACGGAAAATCAGGAAATTCACTAGTGTGAGAAGGATTAAGTGTGGATAATCCATTTTTGTGACTTATTCTGATAAGAGAAGAGCTCATCAACTCTCTGTAGCCTTGCA